ACAGGGTCTCACTATACAGCTCAGACTCACAGTGATCCTCTTGTTTCAGCCTCCCCAGCCCTGGGATTACAGGTGTGTGCCACCATACCTGTTTCAGTGGCCAGCATGTGGGACCTGCACAACAGGCAGTACTGGGGATTGAACCCTGGTCTTTGTGTTTGCCAGGTAGGTGCTTAGACCACTGAGCTATCTCCCCAGCCCTAAACATCATTTTTGATCACTCATGTACACACCGGTCAACACAATATAACACTTGAAAGATTTGAAGTTTGCTTTAAGCCATACCTCTCAGGATCTTGGCCATCGGTCCTTTAGATTAATACTATTATTATTTTAATAATATTACCTTGTGTACCCATAACACTTAATGCTCATGAAAACTTCTTTTGAAACTTGTATTCTGTGTGTTGTGCGTGAACGGTGTCAGGAAATCGTGCTCACTGGTGAGCTGCCGAAGAGGGGATAAAAATGAGGCAGGAGACGAAATGATAGCCCTGGATCTCTGGCAGCACGCCGGACTCAGTTGCCTGGATACTTTTGTAGCCTGATTTAATTCAGCCCAGATGCTGTTCTGTGAACTCTTTTTATTCTTTTTCTTCTTCTTCTGGGGCGATGGGTGTTGCTGCTGGGGGTGGGCAGGGGCAGGGAGCGTGAATGAGACCGAAGAAAAGTTGGCCACACAGATACAATACTGGGACAGTGGACGGCCCTGCTGGGGAGCCGGAGGGGGCAGTTGCTCAGGCCTCACAAAGCCTTTTTTTGTTCCCATAGAAACCAGTGTTTGGTGCTGAATGAGTAGCTTGACTCTGCAGAACTCCCTTCCTCTTTCTTTTTTAATCTCTGTTGGAGGCTCATTGTTTTCTTGTTATTCTTGTTTAAGAGAAGAAAATGCCCCCACCTCAAGGAGCCCTGTGAACAAGGTGATGGCACGTACCCGGTGCAGCTTGGGGTTCGGCTGGACCTCCCCTATCTGCGATCTGGTGGCTTTTCTTTGGGCCATTTTCTGACAGTCCTCCCTGAGCTGTGCCGCCGGGCTGGTATTGGCAGCTGACTTTGAATACCAGTGCTTCCTGGGCTGGCTTCCAGGGAGCGGAGGCCGAGCTGTGAGGGCCGGCAGGGTGGGGCAGTGGCAGATTCAATGGGGGCCCAGTGGGCTCTCTGGAGTCAGGGGCTTCCTGCTTCCCAGTCCCATGCCCTTCTCTGCTGGGTTACTGGCAGGGCTGCTTTCTATTCTTCAAGGATTAATGCCTCAGTGCAAAGGAAAATTAGCAATTAAAAGAAAATTCTCAAAGACTGGGATTTCTATTTCTTTATCATTTCCCAGTTAAATTCATTAGGATGCTGCTGTAGAGAGAAGTTTAGGGCTTTTGTTGTTGTATTGTCAAAGAATTTTAAAGTACTAACAGGATGTTTTCATCTTTACCAGGAAAAATACAGGCAAGCTTTTGTGCTAATGGAGCCTAGCTAACATCTACAGATGCGGGCATTTCTAAAGGGAAAGTCAGTCTCTGTAAATCTTGAACAAAATTATTTGTTAATAAAATGTAAGACAGTTTCCTGCTCAAAGTGATGAATCTAAGTTATTTGGTACATTTTTGTATTTCAGCATTTTAAAAATCAAAGTTCATTTGACACCCACAGTAAAATGGATTAAATATTAGAAATTGTAGGCCTAGATCTTTGTATTGTGAAATAGCTTCTTCAAATGCTTTCTTTGATCCGGGAGTCTAATTAAATGTCCTAGCAGACTGAGCCTCTACTTGTCTAGTGGAACGGCCTTGAGAAGTCCTCCTGGTGTCCTCCCCAGGAGGCTACGGCCTGGGAAGGGTGGGCTGCTCTAGGATGTCCTCCTCTGGTCTCACAGGCCCATTTTGTTACTCCCAGCACCCACCTGCTGCTGACATTTGTGACTTGGGTGGCTCCGTGCCTGCAGCATCAGATAGGCAGAGTGCCATCCCTTGCCCTGGGCAGATATGAATTGTCATCATCAGTGACTGTGTACCAAGTGTTCATTAGTGTAGGTGCTCCTTCCAGGAACAATCAGCGTGATAGCAGGAAACACAAACGAAGCTGATTCATTCTCCAGGGGCAAGGTGTCTCCTGCTAATTGCTGAGAGCACACCAACGTTTTTCTTTGTTAAGTGTGCAAAATGTCGCTTCCAATTTCTGTGCCATTATTCTGCCACAGCTAGTCAAAGTTCTGGCCTTTATCTCAGAGCAAGAATTCTTTGTTGAGTATGTATATTTATGGAGTTTTTTTTTTTTTTTTGTCATTTTACATTAAACCTATGGAATCACTACCTCAAAAAATTCAGGGAAGAGTTTTTGTTCAGAGTTTAGTAAAAAGCATTGATTTTGCTATAAAACTGATGAACTGGCATGGGCAAGTTCTTGCTTCTATATTAACAGACTGATTTTTACCAACGTTTAAAAGGCATGATCAAAGAGAAGGAAAAAAGTGAGAAGGAAACTATTCAAAAGAATCTTTCTCTGCATCATCGCTGACATTGTTTTGTCTGTGTGTGGAGACTTCTTTTTGCTCAGTTGATGAAATTCATTGTTTAGTGGAGAAGGAAA